CCGAGCCTCAGCCAAGGCCAGCAGCCTCCGGCCCACACCCTGACGGCGGTGCCAGCGAGAGACAGAGAGTCGAGTGACCCGGGCTCCATCCCCTGGGGCAACACCAGGGGCCAAAGCCAGGACCCCACACACGTCACCAGAGCCCCGCACTGCCACCCAGGGGCCCCCCAGGCTGCCGGGGGGAGGCAGAGAGCTCCATCGAGCTCGCAGGCCCAGCTTCACAGCAGCCACAGCCAGGAACACAGGCAGCAGGAGGGCCAGGGCAAAGGAGGCCAGCACGAATCGCAGGCCACTGCTGGCCGCTGCCAGGAGCAGCAGGGCCGGGGGCCGCGTGAGAGCGTGGAGAGCCACACGGTTCTCAGTGTCCTTCACGCCAGCCTGTGGGCAGGGGGAGTGGATGAGACATCTGTCACATCGGGGTCCAGGACAGAAGCAGAAATGGGAAGGAGGGAAAGCATCGTGGGGCACAAGGGTGGGTGGCCAAGTGAGCAGGGAGTGAATCGGGAGCTGTGGTGGCGACCAGCTCAGTCAGGAGCTAGGGAAGTGAGCCTTGGAGGATGGGAAACCAGGACGGGGGTGGAAGCAGTGGCAGCCACTGGGCTGTCTGTGGGGTAGACAGGGAGTGCTGTGGTCATGGGGCCACAGGGTCCCCACAGCCCTCCATCTGCTGAAGCCGTGGGCTGGGATGGAGGTACGCAGGAGAGGCACAGAGCCCAGGAGGGGAAGACTTCTGGAGGTCCCCTCTAGGGGCGGGGTGGGGTGGGGCAGGCTGAGCCCACTTGCAGCATCTCGCCACTCCCAGGCTCACCTTCAGCATCTCTAGCACCAGGGGCTTCTCATCTTCCCGCATCTCCCGAACGGACAGGTGGCTGGGGGCCATGGCAGCCCCGAGGCTGCCGCCCCAGAAGGGAGCTGGCGCGCACCTGGGGGAAACACGTAGGTCAGCGTCAGGGGGTACCTCTGTTTACTTGCCCCCATGGTTTTTTCCAGTTGCGCCAGCTAGGAAGCTGGCGAGATGGGCCCCTAATACCCGGCGACTTTCCCAGTCTCCCCATCCTCTCTTCCCTGAGCCCAGGGCGATCTTCCCGAAAGGTGCTGTGCTGCGTGCAGACTTGACACCTCGCACGGGCCCGGCCCCCAGCGCGGGACTCATGACCCCCCTTCTACACATTCCCCACCCGGCCGCAGCGCCCACACCCTGGCGCTAGGCACGGCCCGGCGCCACGGAAGCAGAGCCCGCGAGCACCTCCAAGGGTCGCTCCGATCCTTTGACAAGGTGTAGGGGAACGTAGGGTATGGAGGGGGTCGCCGGCGGAAGTGACGTGAACACGCGCGGGGGCGGGGCTGCGCCAGCTCTCGGCCTTAGCAACTGTTGCCATGCTTCCCAGGGCTGGCCTAAAGGGACTAGCGCATGGCGCAGACACTGAGCAAGTGGGGCGCCCTGGGGAAAGGGGACCTGGGGGAGACGCTGGCGGGAGGAGAGGAGGAGAGGAGGAGAGGGGCAAGAGCGGTACTTACCGGGCCCACGAAGAAGCTGCACCGGTCTCTTCCCAACAGCCTCTGATTGCTAAGCGACTTGAGCACGGGAGCTGGCTAAGCGGTGGTGGGCTGCCTTCTCGGCACCTGGGCCTCTGCGGAGGGGTCGGGACCCAGCTTCCACACCCATCGCCAGGGGCCTCCGCCCGACCCGCTGCCCTTGGGCTGGCCGTTCTTGAGATAAGACTCTCCCTCACTCGCGTTCCAGACAGGGGAGGGGCATGGTGATCTGATACATAGCGAGTAAGGGCCGATTCCCATGCCAGTGCCTTCCCCCTGTAGTGACCACGACGTCACTCCTCCAAAGGACAGGGCAACTGAGACCCCATGAAGGCAGCTGGCCCCAAGACTCCACGCAAGGAATTTGTGAGCCAGGAAACAATACCCCAACCTCCCAGGCCGGGGGACCTTCCCACCACTGTGCCCACTCCCCAAGAAAACAAAACAAGAGAACATTCTGGGTCTTTATTAGCAGTCCCCTTTCTAATGCACAGCCCCAGACAAAGGCAGTGAGTTGGAACCTCCGCGTCGGATGGGTCGCCTCAAAACGTGTGCACCAGCTGGACAGCGGGCAGTGTCTGCACAATCTGGATGGAGGGCAGGGGCTGCGGGCTCACAAGCCCTGGGCTGGCCCCTGCGGGGACCACCTGTACCATCTGGGGGGCAGGAGCCGCGGGTATCGCCGCTGCCGTCACCGTGGGGGCAGAGACTGGGCCAGGGGGCGGAGGAGCCAGGAGCTGCAGCGTGGCAGTGCCTCCCCCCACACTTCGGTTCTCCAGCAGCTCAGCGGCAGGGGCGCTGCGGATGATGAGCAGTTTCTGTCCCGCTGGGGCAGAGGCAGGTGGTTCGCTCAGCCCAGAAGGAAGGGTTTCTACCTCCTGAACACACAGCCGCGTCTGCTCCCCATCCGCTCCGCTCAGCACCAGCACGCTCTGCAGCCCCTCGTCCGTCTGCACCGTCTCAAAGACGACATCCTGTACCACGCCTGCGCTGGCCTCCCCATCCCCTGCCTCGCCAGGACCTGGGGTTGCCAGCAGCTCCTCAGCTGCCTCACTCTGGACCACCAGCAGATTGGAGGCCTCAGCGGTCACTGCTCCTCCACTGGAGTTGGCCAGCTGGCCGGCCAAAGGCTGGAGTTGGACTGTGGTCACTTCCTGTGCCGGCTGGAGCTGGACCGTGGTCACTTCCTGGGCAGGTTGGAGCTGGACCGTGGTCACTTCCTGGGCAGGTTGGAGCTGGACCGTGGTCACTTCCTGGGCAGGCTGGAGCTGGACCCCACTCACTTCCTGAGGACCTGTATCCCCACTCCCTACATTCTGTAGGACAATGAGGCTCTGCCCTCCCCCAGTGGCCCCTGCACCACCCCCGCCCTGCATCCCCAGACCCCCAGGCCCTGGCAGCCAAACCACTCCGGCACCTTGGCCAGCTTTTCCCAGAGCCCGAGGGCCCTGCCTTGCTGGGCCGCCTGCAGCACCTGAGGGCAGCAGGATGAGCTTAGGGGGAGCAGGTGGGGGTGGCGGGGTCGGGGGCTGGACGTTGCTGGGGATCAGCTGGAGGCCCTGGGCAGTCTGCACCAGGAGAAACGTCGGGGAGTTGGGCGCAGCGGGGCCTGGCGGCGGGGCCTGGGCTGTGCCCCCAGCCACCTCGAGGGAAAGTGTGGCCTGGAGGTGGGGGAGCACGTGGACATCTTGGGTAGCGAGCGGGGCTGGGGCAGCAGCCAGCGGGGCTGGGGGCCGGGGGCAGGAGGCTGGGGCTGCGGTGCCAGAGGCCGCCTGTGCCGGGGTGTGCGTCCTCATGTGCCGCTGCAGGTAGGCGGCCATGACGAAGCCGCGGCCACAGATGGCACAGGTGAAGGGGCGCTCCGCGGAGTGTGTGCGCTGGTGCAGCAGCAGGTTGGACGAGTGCGTGAAGGTCTTGGGGCAGAGCGCGCAGCGGAAGGGCCGCTCGCCCGGGTGCTGCCGCAGGTGGTACTGGTAGTGCGACGACCACTTGAAGGCCAGGCCGCACTGGCCGCAGGTGAAGGCGCGCAGGCCGGTGTGCACCCGCTGGTGGATCTGCAGCAGCGAGGAACGCTTGAAGGCCTTGCCGCCCTCGCCGCACGGGTAGGGCCGCTCGCCGGAGTGCAGGCGCAGGTGGTACTGGTAGTGCGACGACCACTTGAAGGCCAGGCCGCACTGGCCGCAGGTGAAGGCGCGCAGGCCGGTGTGCACCCGCTGGTGGATCTGCAGCAGCGAGGAACGCTTGAAGGCCTTGCCGCCCTCGCCGCACGGGTAGGGCCGCTCGCCGGAGTGCAGGCGCAGGTGGTACTGGTAGTGCGACGACCACTTGAAGGCCAGGCCGCACTGGCCGCAGGTGAAGGCGCGCAGGCCGGTGTGCACCCGCTGGTGGATCTGCAGCAGCGAGGAACGCTTGAAGGCCTTGCCGCCCTCGCCGCACGGGTAGGGCCGCTCGCCGGAGTGCAGGCGCAGGTGGTACTGGTAGTGCGACGACCACTTGAAGGCCAGGCCGCACTGGCCGCAGGTGAAGGCGCGCAGGCCGGTGTGCACCCGCTGGTGGATCTGCAGCAGCGAGGAACGCTTGAAGGCCTTGCCGCCCTCGCCGCACGGGTAGGGCCGCTCGCCGGAGTGCAGGCGCAGGTGGTACTGGTAGTGCGACGACCACTTGAAGGCCAGGCCGCACTGGCCGCAGGTGAAGGCGCGCAGGCCGGTGTGCACCCGCTGGTGGATCTGCAGCAGCGAGGAACGCTTGAAGGCCTTGCCGCCCTCGCCGCACGGGTAGGGCCGCTCGCCGGAGTGCAGGCGCAGGTGGTACTGGTAGTGCGACGACCACTTGAAGGCCAGGCCGCACTGGCCGCAGGTGAAGGCGCGCAGGCCGGTGTGCACCCGCTGGTGGATCTGCAGCAGCGAGGAACGCTTGAAGGCCTTGCCGCCCTCGCCGCACGGGTAGGGCCGCTCGCCCGGGTGCTGCCGCAGGTTGGAGGTCTGTGCAAAGCTCTTGCCGCACACGCCGCACGCGTGGGGCCTCTCACCCGTGTGCACGTGCCGGTGGCGCCGCAGGCTGGAGGAGTTCTTGAAGGCCTTGGGGCAGTCCGGGCAGGGGTAGGGCCGCTCGCCCGTGTGCTGCCGCAGGTGGTACTGGTAGTGCGATGACCACTTGAAGGCCAGGCCGCACTGGCCGCAGGTGAAGGCGCGCAGGCCGGTGTGCACGCTGCGGTGGATCTGCAGCAGCGAGGAGCGCTTGAAGGCCTTGGGGCAGTCAGGGCACTGGTAGGGCCGCTCGCCCGTGTGGCCTCGCTGATGGTACAGCAGCGCGGAGGAGCCCTTGAAGGCCTTGGGGCAGTCGGGGCACTTGTAGGGCCGCTCGCCAGTGTGCGTGCGCTGGTGATGCAGGAGTCGCGACGACCAACGGAACGACTTGCCACACTCCCCGCACTCATACTGGGCCGTGGTCGCGGGGGCTGCCGGCGCCAGCTTCTCTCCTGGCCCCTCGGCGGTGGAGGCGGGCGCCATGTCTCCCTGGGAGCCGACCATCACACCTGGAGGTGGGGGTTCCAGATCAACAGGGCCCCTCCTGGGTCCCTTGGCCTCTGGGAACCCGTGTTAGGAGTGGGGCTTCCCAAACCAGGTTTCCCCTCAGCATATGGGGTGGGTGAGTGGCCTGGGGAGACCTCTTGGTTTGAACGGAACTTGCTTCGCACTGGCCTGGCTCAGCCTGGAGCAGGCCAGCCGCCCCTCCCGAAGGCCCCAGCAGTTCCTCTGTCCTAGCCTGGGGAGACCTCTTGGTTTGAACGGAACTTGCTTCGCACTGGCCTGGCTCAGCCTGGAGCAGGCCAGCCGCCCCTCCCGAAGGCCCCAGCAGTTCCTCTGTCCTCAGCACCTCCTCCCAGCTGGGTGTGGCCGCGCACATCTATGATCCCTGCACTCAGGAGACTGAAGCAGAAGGATCTTGAGTTCAAGGGCAGTCTGGACTACACAGTGCCACCCTTTCTCAAAAAGCCATAACTTTTTAAATAAATACTTTTTAAAATACCTTATTCCCAACTCCAACACTTGCCTGCCGTCACACCCTAAAGCAGCGGTGGCGAACCCATGGCACCCGTCCCACCGATCACACCAGTCAGAAAGTAAAAGAAAGTAAAAGCTGTCAGAAGTGTTCTAACCTTCCGGCCAGCCGGGGGATCTTAACCAGCACAAGGGCCCCAGGGGTGGCTGGTGACACCTGGAAACACTTGCTTCTCTGTCAACTAGAGAGGATGAGCAGAGGCTAGGGACCCTTCACAAACCCGCGGGCAGAACCCAGTCCAAACTGCTGAGAAACCACATCTTCTCCACCAGCCTGCCTGGCTCAGGCCTCTGGCCTCCCTCCACATCCTCAACTGCCTCTCACCACATCCTCCCGCTAGGCCCCCATCTTCTCCCAGAAGGTGCTGGGTGTGGGCCATGCCTGTAATCCTAGCTACATTGGAGGCTGAGGCAGGAGGGAAAGTGCAAGTCCAGTGGGACCATTTAGTGAGACCCTGTCTGGAAAGAAGGGCTGAGGATGTAGCTCAGCAAGAGCTTCCCACAAGACACGGGCCCCAAGTCCCGGCCCCAGCACACACAAAACCAACCAAACAAGCAAGCAGACAGACCTACACTTTGGTCCCGGGTAGCCCCAGCTTGCCTTCTCTCTACCCCTTTGGAGTAGAGCAGCCAAAATCTCAGCCTGCTCTTCTCACCCAAACCACTGGGCCATGCTCTGCTGCCACTGCCCAGCACCATAAGGATTCCCACTTCAAGCATGATGCAGCCAAAATCGAAGTGCAGGTTTCTGATCCTGTGCCCTCCTGTCAACCAGTCTTCTGACCACAGGAAGTCCCATTCTTCCCCTGGCTGAGGCAGGCACTGCTCACCTCTGCTGTCAGGAGGTCACTGGGCTCCACACGGACAGACGGATGGATGGCAGCCAGAAGCTGGGGCCTCGGCGGCGGCCTGGCCATCTCTCCCTTGGGCAGCGGCAGCAGCAGCTTCTCCACCCCGGGACCCCCGGGGGCCTGTCAGGAGAGCGGACAGGATACCTCATTCCTCTCTCCCTCATCTTCAGCAGACCCCTCAGGGCCCGGCCTCCGCTTCCTGCCTCCAAGCCCAGCAAGACAGGCTACACCACTCGCTCGTACCCGCGGTCCCAGGCTTCCCTGGGAGCAGCCTGCGGGCCAGCGGGTCCTTCCAACACTGCCTTCTCCGGACAGCGCCGCTCTCTACAGCGCTGTCGCCGCCCAAATTACACAGCGCGCCATCCCGGCTCAGAGCGGACTCCTCTGTCTGAGGGTCCCTTGCTCTCCTGGGTGTTGAGAGCGACCCTGAACCCGACCCACACGCTTGCAGGTGTGACAGCGGCCACACTGCCCCTCGCCTAGGAAGCCTCCTACTCGCTCCCGCAGTGTCACCCGGAGAACAGCATCGCCGCCCCGGTGACAACTGCTAGCACAAAATGTTTGACGCGGCCTCCCCAGGCTGGAAAGTCAGCGCCACGCAAAGGCCTTCGTTAGGATCGGGGTCGCATCTCGGCCACTACATTGCGTCGGGCAGGGGCGTGTGCGCTGCAAACACTGGAGGAAGGCACGCTGCCCCTCTGGACAAGGGTTTTCCTTTAACAGAAGGACGTCAGTTTAGAGTGTGAGCAGCTCCCCGTAGGACACCGATCACGCCAAGGAGCCTCTCTGTGGAGGGGCGTTGCATCTAGCCGTCCGCACTCCCGAGAGGCCAGAGCCCCTGCCGGCCGCGCAGCAGGCTGCACTGCGCCTCTGAGGGGATGCGCCGGCCACACACCCATCTCCACCTTTGTCCGGGCAGACAGGGTCGCCCCGCAGCAGCGGAGGCCCTGCAGCTTTGCCCTGACCGTCCCGGGCCTCTGGTGGACGAA